AGATGAGTCCAGCCCCATCCAGGGGTACGGGCAGGAAGTTCTCCCAACCAGCCATGCCTGATTCTGGAGATTGAACCCTTGCATAAATTGTGCAAGGCCTGGCGAAACTGTCTCGTATTCCTGGTGTGAGGTAAGCGCGCAAGGACACTTTTTTCCCCCTGTGAAATGTGACGGCAGGAAAGCAAAACGAGTGGGGAAAGACCTAGTAGAGTTTTATTGGACCTTTGGCCGCATCGCCCGAGCTCCTTGGTTCTGAAAGTTCTGTTTAATTTTTTTTTAACTGAATTTGTTTTGCTGTGTCTATACGTGCAGTAAAACTTAATCACCCTTTTTTAATACCAAATTCTCGCACGTACGGTGACCTTGGAGGGGAGGAGATGATCCTCAGTAGGCCTTCTCTCACCTTGCTCCACAAAAGAGGAGCAAATGTCCCAGGGAACCGTGGCAAGAAATGCTTCAGTTTAAAAACTCAGTTGGCTTGAGAGCTTATCCACCTTCCATCGATGAGATGAACTTTCACTTTTTTCTCCCTGGCGTCTTGGTGGCAATGCTCCAGAAACTGGGGGATTTCCTCCATCTATTTGGATGGACCTTTTTCTCCCAAAGACTGCAAAGTTGAATACAAAACTCCAGCTGCCTTACTGCAGACCTGCAGAACGGACGTTCCCCAGTGGGCCCTTGTGCAGTCTGGCCAGCCAAGTATCCTGATTCATTGACGCTGAATCTCTTGCAACTGGAGTTTTGTGGGTTTGCTCCAAATGTTACCTGTGAAGAACTGTTCTGCCATTGCTTTAGCTCCTAAGTTGGTTTGCGCAGGCAAACAGAGGTTGCTCTTTCCTTCAGTATAGAAATCAGCCATATTGATGGTTTCTCCATGATGTCCCACCAGGAGAAGCAACGGGAATGAACCTGTCTTCCTAGAGGCTGAGAAAGGACGTGGTTCTTTTCTTAGAGAAGAAGGAATGGGTGACCGCTTCGCAGGGCAGTAAGGAAGACTGGATCTATAATGCGTTCATTGTCTTCTGCAGGATGTATGGCATCTTGGTGCACAGAATGATGGGGAAAGAGGTCTTGTCGGAGTTAGGAGTGTTGAAGAACCCTGGCAGAGGAAGCGTATTGCAACATACATTTCTGCCTACTTCTCTTCTTGTGGTGGTTTTGTCTCTCTCTTTAAAAAATGTAACCCTATTTTTATCAGAATTAGAAGGGGAGAAGGTTTTAACCATGCTGATATATTATTAGATTTGTCTAAGGACATCCGCTGAGGACCTATGGTTCTCAGAGCTCCCAGCCTTGGGTCCTCAGCAGATCTTGGACGACAAATCTTCTCCTTGTTGGTGGAGAATGATTGCAGGACAAAATGTGGAAGGTCTTCCTGGGATGGGAGAAACCAGGTCACAGTTGTAAGCCTTCTTCCACAGCCAGGGAATAATCGTTGCAGAAAGGGTTCTGAGTTGACATTTCAATGCTATGTGTTGTTCATCTTCATTAAAGTGGAGCAAAGAGTCCGATTTTTGCAAAGAGAAGAAAGGTGGAGGGAAGGGCAGTGGAGAAACTGAGGCATAAGCCTTCCATTCAGGCAGAGGAAGAAAAGCTGGACTCTGTAGCCAAGAAGGGGATAATGAGGTGCAGCGGTTGCATTCCAATAATGCAGTTAATGCAAATAGCAGATCTCCAGAATGTGGCATTTGTGTAGAATCAAGGAAGTAAAAAAACCCAGCTGATTAGGGGCTGTCGGATGCACTTCTGAGATATTTGGAATAGTCCTGACTTGGGTGGGCCAACTGAGAATCCCCCTCCCAGCTTCTCATTCGTAGCTCCCTGGGTGGGAAGGCAAATGAAATTCCACTGAACAAGAATGTTTGAAGTTGATTATGCACTGAGATGTTTCAAGGGGGTGGATTATGGCCTTAGACCAGTGTTTCTCAACCTTGGGAACGTTAAGACGTGTGGCCTTCAACTCCCAGAATTCCGCAGCCAGCCATGCTGGCTGGGGAATTCTGGGAGTTGAAGTCCACACATCTTAACGTTCCCAAGGTTGAGAAACACTGCCTTAGACCAATGATTATACTGGTTAAGGCACTAATTCTAAATCCCCTTTAATTACTACTGTTGAAGCAATTGGGCTGGCTTCTGAACCAATAGATATTTGGGGGCTGAATTGAGTTTTCAGTACAATGTGAATGAAAGAGATTTCTGTCTTGCATCTTGAGTGTTTTAATGGGAGATATTTTTAACTTCATGCGTTCCTTGTTGGAAAGGGATCCAGATGCACTCTTTCAGATGGACCCTAACAAGTTCCAGTTTTGAATCGGGGATAGTGCGTCAATCTGGTTAGTTTGCATAGCACCCTAGTTAATCCAAAACCATTCTCTCCCCTCTTTTTGCTTTTTTTAAAAAGAATTCCTACCTCCTGGACCCCAGCGTCTCTTTGAGAGAATTGCTAAACGAGCTTTTGAGGGCAAGGGTTTAATGTGAATGCTGAAGCCTAGACAGTTGTGTTGGATTCTAGCTTCTCTTGACTTAATCTGCCTGCCTCTGGTTTGCCGCATCATTTCGAACTAGGGCAAGAATTGGAGATAACTCCCCCCCCCGACAAACACAAAATGGTAGATATTTGCAAGGGCAAATTCAAAAGTACAACTCGGTGACTGCCATAAATTGGTTTTTTTTTTAATTTTGAGGAGCCGTGAAGAGTTGATAGAGCAGGAGAAAGTATCCAGAATGTAGATCGAGTTTCATAATCCGTCCTCCGGGATTTCTACTGACTTTGTACTTGGTCTAAAGTGGAACATTTGCTCCAAAGTGCCACTGCATTCAAGCCCATACCAGCCACGAACTTGTCCTAAGAGATCTGACCGCTCGCCTTTTTACAGAATTTTTATGGTGCCTAGTTTACTCGGAGGGAATTCCCACCGAGTCCTCGTTGTTCAGGGCTCGTTTTGGACCTGGGATGCTCGGATCAACTACTTTGGGAAGAAGATGTGCGTGCTAAATCTTGGGGTCCCCGGGTGCATACTCAGCCCCCTTGCTGGTCGACCAGCTTTCTTCGAGATGGTAGTCAGCTGATCAGAAACATTGGCATTCATTGGCAGGTTCTTGGGCACAAGTCAACTGGCGCTTTTCACTCACTTGGTGTGACAAATGATTACTGATCTTGGCACCTTTGGAGGGTGTGGAGTGCGGCTGGTAGAGTTCCCAACCATCCCTACACGCCTGGAAGGTTTCGGCCTGGGAAAAGTTGGCTTTCGAGTCTGCCAGTCAAGGGGTAGTGGGGAGTTTGTGATCCTCGGATGTTGCTAAATCCTGAACATCATATGTCCGGGGAGTGGGGAGGAAGGGCAGTGTTCTGGGAATTATAGTTCATCAATATCTAAAGCACCGGAAATTCCTTACTTTTTGTTAAAAGGAGAGGAAACTTCCATTTCAAAGGATACTCCCTGTGAACGTGGAAGCAATTGAATGTAATTTTTGTGCCTAATGATTTTGGTCGGCTTGGACTTTATTTCCCCCCACCCCCTGCGTGGTTGATGCATTTATGCTTTGTTCCTTGCCTCTCATCCCCTTTGCAACTAAAACTTTTGTATTCTATTAGAATTTTTGGCACTGAAAAAAAAATCATAATAAATATTTCCTTCGTTATTAAAATGGTCCGGAGTGTTCTTTTTCCTTCTTTCAGCCTGCTGGACAAGATGGGGGGGGGGGTGTTATCCCCACTTTTCCTTGCATGCTGTTGCCACCACCCATTTAATTCCATCATCCACTAATCCAGGCAAGTGGCTGGCATCCCATTTGCCCTTGCATAGGAGAGTGGGCAAGGCTTTGTGGTTTCTCTCATCCTTCCCCATTGGTCAGGCAGGGAGCAAGAGGCGTGACTTGGACATGTAGCCAATAGGCGTTTGGGAGGTGTGTTCTAGGCTTTCTGTTTGAGCCAGTCTTTCTCATCAACTCCTTTTCTTGGAGGACTAGTTAGGCAGGACAGATCAATTGATCAAATGATTTCCCTAGCTGTTCCCATAATATAACTGCATGGATGGAGTAAATTTACTTCTGTGTGTGACTTGAATGATTTGGGGTTTAATTTACCCCCAAAGGTTAGTTGATTGGATCAATTAACTCCTTATTTTGGCCTTGACCTACATACCTTCTTCACTATACAGTGGTACCTCTACTTACGAATGCTCCTACTTATGAATTTTTTGAGATACGACCAGCTCTGGCCCCCAAAATTTACCTCTACTTACGAACTTGCCTCGACTTACAAACCGGATCTGCAGCCATTTTCTGCCCGTTCCATGTGGTCCGTGGCCATTTTCCGCCCCTGACACGTGGTCTGCGGCTGTTTTTCCGCCCCTGACGCGTGGTCTGCGGCTGTTTTTCCGCCCCTGACGCGTGGTCCGCGGACGCCAGAATGGATTAACGGTAATTACA